TATTATTAAAAGGGATGCATGTAGCAAACAATTAAACAAGTCATAATAACTACCCAACTTCCAAATTGATCATAGGCAATTGATTAGTCCAACTACATCATCCATAACCAAATTTAAGATAATATATAATGAATTATGAATTTGTAGCTAGCTAGGTTAGTTTTTTTTATTAGATAATTAAGTTGACAAATTAGTGATTGAGTGGTTGTTTTGAGTATGAATTGAATATTGATGAGGTCATATATGAAATGATGATGTATGCAACTTCAACTTGACATCTTTCGTGAGTTTATTGCATTGTGTTTAGTTAATTAAGGAGAAAGGGCAATCATAATCTTTTCTAGCTATTTATTTCCTTTTTATTGTTCTTTATTATGTTGATGCTCTTGCATGTGTTTAACGTTGTATGATTTTAGTTCTTTTCAATTTCGTCATCATATGCGCCTAATTAATTCTTTTTTCCTTTGTCGTTTATTTTCTAGTTTAGGTACAATTAATTGTATATAACACAATTCTAATAATACACAATACATTGAATTATGTATGTATGTATATATTGCTGAGGGTATAGTAGTGCGTTTTGTATTAAGCATCAGTTATTAACTCATGATCCATGATTCAATTTAGTTATTGGTTGTGTTTGGTTTTAAAGCTAAAAGCTTAAGCTGATTGTGTTGGTTGTTTTGACTAGCTGATTGTATTAATGAATTTGATTATCTTATTTGATTAGCTAGCTGTATAAAAGTCTTTGGTAAATAGCTGAATGCTTAAAGTTATTTGAGTATGTGAAATGAATAATGAGCTAATTGTGAGGGTAGGTAGTTGTGGTTGGATTTTAATTTAAATGAGGGTATAAGTGTCATTTTATCGTAAGATATTAAACAAGCTAATTGAAAAAACTCTGTTAAAAATGAGCTTATTTAGTGGAATCAGTTCTTTAACTAAGCTTCACACCAAACACCTTGAGTTAACTTATTTAATAGTCAATAAGCTAATGTTGGTCAAATAAGCTAGTTGCCAAACATATTGTAATGACCAATGTTGGTCAACTTTAAATCTTAATCTCCTAAACATATGCAGCTTTATAAAGTTACGAATGGGAGAAATTGTAATGACCAATTCAATGTACAAACAACTGCTACTATGTAATACTATACTATAATGATCATATAATAGCCATCAACGAGATTGATTTATGATCATAAATAAATAAATTAAGGGTTTGTTCTCTTACGTTTACTTTCAGTTCAGTTTAGTTCAGTTCATTCCAACTCCTAATTTCCTTCTCTTATAAAATATTCATTTCAATTCAGTTCAGTTCAGTTCAGTTCAATTCAGCTGAGTTTAGTCAATGAGAACAAACCCTAATGTGAAATCATAGAAAGTAAGCAATTAAGCGATGAAATAGATATAAGACGGAGAAGTGAAATTCGAGTTTAGGAGATAGAGAAATAACTCAGGTGTCGATCTAACTTGTATCAAAAATGGATGTTTGACAAATTAATAATGTTTTTTTTGACCTGTTTGGAAGTGGCATTACTGGCATATATACTTTATCAATTGCCAACTAAATAATGTTACTTGTACTACAACCCCATCAAGAAGACATAAACCTAAATATCTAAGGCACTTTCCACCTTTTTCAACTAAGCATGTCTTTCCTTAATTTGTTCTCAACAAAAGTGCCAACCCAATAATACGTAATACGTGTCTAAGGTGCAGTTTTTTTTTGGACGACCTTTCACTCCAATATGGACGTTATGACGTAAGGTGGTAGGTTAATGTATCTTTATTTTGACTTTTGTATTTTATCAATACATACTACTCCGTAGTATTTATGAATAACAAAAAATTTGTTTTAATTTATTTACAAATGATGTGATATTTTATACGGAGTATTTATCAAAATCTAGATAAAATTTGTTTGTGAGTATAAAAATTAAAGAACAACGCGTTTCTGGTGTGGCTGGTCGCACGGTGCGGCAAGGTGTCATATCAGTAACCCCTCAAGTAACCCCACTTAAGTGACCTCTCTAGTAACCCCCAAGACAAAGTAACCCCTGACTGACTTAATAACCCTTGATTAAGTAACCCCCGACCTAGTAATCCCTGACCGACCAGCTAGTAACCCCTAACCTAGTAACCTCAAGTAACCCCTAACAGACCTAGTAACCCATGACCGACCTAGTAACCCCAAGTAACCCCTAACAAACCTAGTAACCCCAAGTAACCCCTAACCGACCTAGTAACCCCAAGTAACCCCTAACCGACCTAGTAGCCCCAAATAACCGCTAACCGACCTAGTAACCCTTAGTAACCCCAAGTAACCCCTAACCGACCTAGTAAGCCTTAGTAACCCCTGACCAACCTAGTAACCCCTAATAGCCCCCGACCTAGTAACCATTTACCCACACCCAAACTCACCGTAACCACCAACAACACCAACCTTTCTCAACCGCCGTCCTCAAAACATTAAACTCCACCACACCACCACTAACTCCCGTACCACTAACAACTACACCTAGATCCAACCAAACCGAACCCACAACCATAAAATAAATTAAAATTGGTAAAAAAAAAATTAAATCGAACAAATACCTCAAAATTAATACTGGCTTCAAATTACACTTGAAATATGGCTAAAAAGGCCAAATTCAGCTATAAATACTCTAGATCTAGAGTTTTCATGGCTAAATTTGGCCTTAAAACCTCTATCTTGTTTTTCGGCGACGGAGTACGAGGAGTTTCCTTACCCCCTACCACCGTTGCTCCATTTAACTTGTTTAATTTAAGTGGGCTAACTAGAGAAGATGAAAATAGCAGAGAGAAAGAGGAGAAAGGAGAGATAGAAGAGAGTTCAAGAGAAGGGGTGTGTTTAGGTGGGAAGAAGAAAACAGGAAAGAGAATAGGAGATAGAGAAGAGAGAAAAAAAATTATATTGCAGCTGGCCGTACGGTGCGGCCAGCTGCATATAAAACTTTGTGTAAAAAGAAAGAGAAGAATAACTAAAGTTGCATGTGATGAGAAAAGAAATAAAAAGAAATGACAATTGAAAAAAAGGAAAGAAAAAATATTCATTGTAAATAAATTATAACGGAGGCAGTAATATGTTAAGTATTTCCTGGATTAATCACAAATACAATAATGTATATTTATAAATTATCATTGTTTAAATTAAATTTTATGTATTGATTATAAAGAAGTTAGGCCCTGTTTGATTCACCTTAATTTTGCTGAACTGAAATTATTTTCACTGAACTGAACTTATTTTTACTGAACTGAACTTAATTTTACTGAACTGAAATTATTTTTACTGATTTTCTATTATAATTCTTATTTAAGAAAACTGAATTTTACTGGATTGAACTTATTTTTATTGAACTGAAATTATTTTTACTGAACTGAACTTATTTTTACTGAACTAAAATTATTTTTACTTAATATTATTTTTTTTAAGGTGAAGAGAACAGGGTCTTATAGTTTAATTTTAAATTTTTTTTATAATACTTCCCACATACCATCAATTTTAAGTTATGTGTTTGTTTCAAAACTACTTTAAAAATATACAACTTTCACCAAAATTCTTGGTTAAATTTATGCATAGAGAACAAACTTAGGTCCTGTTTTGATTTACTTAATCGAGCTGAATTAAACTGAACTGAACTGAACTAAACTAAATAGAGATAAAATGAATTGTTTTTGAGAGAAGGAAATTAGAACTGAATTGAACTGAACAGATTTGAACTGAATTAAATTGAATTGAACTAAAGAGAACAGGTATATGGCCAATAATAGTGGTTCATACTTCAGAAAATGAACAGAGTTAGGAGCCAACTTGTTTTGGGGCGAATGAACTAACTGATCCTTGCCCCAATTAATGTTAGGGGGGAATGATCTTAGTAGATGGGTTCAGTCTAGGAGCTGATCCATAAAGTTGTCCTAGTACTGTACTGTACTAGCAGTGATCTTAAAAGGCTTGAATTCAGAAATTTATGGGCCTCCAATTTATGGGCCTCCACGGCCCAACACGTGCAAAGAAAGAAATGTGGTAATCCGCTCTTAAACGTCGGGAATTTTTAGGACATTACATTGACACATGAATTGCAATTGCAGGTTTGACACGGCAGTAGTACTCATCATCACTTCATAAACAGATAAAATTTGAATAATTGTGCCTTACATTGAGACACATAAAAATTCATCAATGTTTCCATTACAAGGGACAGTTAGTAGCTTAGTAATAAGCTCATTTTTCCTCCAATATAAGTATTTTATTTTATTTCGTAAAATAAGATCTATAACACTTGCAATCAAACCTTACTAGATTTAAATAAAAGTACCACAAACCTCTAAACTAAATTAATTAATGACATTGTTTTTAAACTGCTTATGGATTAACTTTATTTTTTTTTTTTTTTTGCGGAACTCTGTTGAAGTTTAATTAGAGCTAATCAAATTCAGCTCGACATGGCTCGAAAATCCCGAGATGGCCTGCAGGCGGGATGATTTTTCTTGCCTTGACTCAACCCGAACCCGTCCGTTGATCACCTCTAATATTAACAATTTTGTATTTTTAATAATTAATATTAAATCATACTCCGTATAAATTAAAAGTCAAATTGATACATTGACATGTGTATTAACTTTAATTACATCAATTTTTTTTTTTTGAATAACTTTAATTACATCAATTAATTAAGAACGAAGGGAATAAAAATTGTATTCGGTTATAAATTTATACTCCGTAATACGGAATATTACAAATAGTCGAATATCACCTACCAAACGGGTCGTTTTAATGTCAATTTCAATCATCATAAAAAAAAGGGGGTAAACCAGACAATGATCCAACGGTCTAAAATAATGCTTGAACCCAGTTGTCAACTTCTCATAAATTTCAGAACTTTCCAGAACTTCACAAAGATATAATCAAAAAATCAAAATCTAACCCCACTACTTTACACTTGGCTACATCTCCATAATTATCTTTTTATTTTGTCAAAATTTCCCAAAAAAAGCACAATAATTTCAAAAAAACAGTGAGTAAGAAACTTCCAAGAGAAGTAGAGAAATCCTTAGATCCTTCATAATTCCCCTGTTTTTTTTTTCTCTCTCCTCAATCTAGAACCTTCTTCAACCCCACATCCCATCTTTCTCCCGCCATTAAATTATCTTCCAACTATCAAACTACAATTAAACCCCAAAACCCAGAATTAATCCATCTTCAATTAAAATTAAAACCCCTTAATTTTTCCCAATTTACAGAATTAGGGATTGCTCTGTTTTTCAGCTAAAAATGGAAAATGTGATTGTTAAGGAAGAAGAGGTAACTATCCCATGTAACGCGGGTACAGGATCATCAATTTCATCGTCTTCATCAGTATCAAGCTTCTCTGCTAGACCCATGGAAGGGCTCCATGAAATGGGCCCACCTCCATTTTTGATCAAGATTTTTGATATGGTGGAAGACCCTTCGACGGATACTATTGTTTCTTGGAGTAAAGCTCGTAATAGCTTCATTGTTTGGGATTCTATCAAGTTTTCTACTTTGCTTTTGCCCAAGTTTTTCAAGCATAACAATTTTTCCAGCTTTATTCGTCAGCTGAATACTTATGTAAGTAAGATTTTTCTCTTTTTTGGGGTTTTAATTTAATGCCTACCAAGTGTTTGTTGAAATGTTTGTGTGAAATTTTGTATTTGACCTGGATTTTTGTTGTAGGAAAGTTTTGTTGTTTGAATTTTTTGATTTAGGGTTTGTGCAATTGATTTGGGTATCATGAATTTGTTGAAATGCTTGTGTGGCATTATGTGTTACTTGATCTGGGTTTTGCTCATATTTGGGTGAAACTTTTGTTGTTTGATTTAGGGTTTGGGTAATTGATTTGGGTATCATTTGTTTGGTAAAATGCTTGTATGAAATTCTGTGTTATTCGATTAATATTTTCTGGGTGATACTTTTCTTATTTGATTCAGGGTTTTGGGTATCATGTGTTTGTTGAAATTTTTATCTGAACCTGTAATTTTTTAGCTGGATTGTTGGTTGAAAGTTTTTTTTTTTTTTTTTTTTTTTTTTTTTTTTTTTTTTTTTAACATATCATTAGGGTTTAAGTAATTGATATGGGTACAATTAGAGATTAAAAATTGCTCATTTATTATGAGCGTATTGTGAGAAATGTAAAGTTCTCAACATGATTAATGTTTATTTTGCTGATACTTGTAGGGTTGAAGTGTTGCCTGCTACCTGTTTGTTAGTAATATGCTTCAGAGTTGATCATTACAAGGAAGATATTTTCTGAGGTTCTGTGCCTGAGTTGGTTTTTGCTGCTTAAAGGACCTTTCAACTTTGATATATACCCTTGATTTATCTGTAATTTTTCTTTCATGTGACTGCAAATTTAGCTCCATTTATCTGTCGGATCGTTTCAAGTTGTTACTATTGGTTGTGATCATTCTTCTAGGATATGAAGATTTGATGGAATCATTGCACTGAAGATTGCTTGAAACTTCTCTGGTGTCAATTGTTGGTGTGATATGTTCAAGATGATTAAAAGTTGAGACTTCTCTGATGTCATTGCTGGTGTGATATGGTTGAACCAAGGAAGTCTATGTTAATATTCGAGATTGATCAATCTCACACACATGGATGGCTAGTGGTTTTAGTGATCATGTCTGTGAGACTGATGAATTGCGGATATCATCATACACTTTCTCAATCGAGATAGCTACCTTAAATAATGTTTATCTTTAAAGTCCAGTAGCTTACCAGTTGTTAATTTCAAATGTTTCAGGGTTTCAGAAAGGTTGATCCTGATCGCTGGGAATTTGCAAATGAAGGTTTTCTAGGAGGGCAAAAGCATTTGTTAAAGAAAATCAAGAGGAGGAGAAATGTTGGACAAAATATTCAACACCAAGGAGGAGCTTGTGTTGAGATAGGTCACTATGGGTTGGATGGTGAGATGGAACGACTAAGGAGAGATCGTAATGTGTTGATGGCTGAACTTGTGAAGCTACGACAGCAGCAGCAAGTCTCTAGGGAGCAAATCCGCACTATGGAGTCTCGACTTCAGTCTACTGAGAGAAAGCAGCAACAGATGATGACATTTCTAGCCAAAGCCCTTACAAACCCAGCCTTTGTACAGAACTTGATGCAACATAATGAGCAGGGTAGAGTGTTTGAAGGCATCGAGATTGGAAGGAAAAGGAGGTTAACAGCTAGTCCAAGTGCAGAGAGCTTGCAAGAAGAAGTGCTATCAGCTGCAGTCGAAGCTACTGAAGGGTTGGCATCTGTTGAATCAGAAATCCAGACTTTGTTCTCAGCTGCATTGGATGATGAGTCAAGCAGTGATGTTAAGGAGCCAATATTGGAACCTGCTCCAATTCCCTCATCAGTTGGTGCAAATTTGGGAAATGTTAATGAGATTAGCTGGGAAGAGCTACTGAGTGAGGACTTGTTAGGCGAGGGGGAAGGTTATGTTGGCGACGAACAAGAGGTGGATGTACCAGTAGAGGACCTGGTGCCAGATCCTTCAAATTGGGGTGAGGATCTACAAGACTTAATTGATCAAATGGGTTTTTTAAGATCAAAACCCGAGTGATTTTCTTTGATTGTATTGTAATGGCTCCTTGCCTCGATTGCTTTACTTCTGCCCCTTGTGATTGGTATGTTATAGCAGGATAAGCTTGTTTCTGTAGGTTGGTTTGTTAAATGTATTAGTTTACTAGATATTCATTTCTTATGATATGTTTGATTTGTAATGCAGAAAGGTGGCAGGAGGATGCAAGGGGCTGTAATTGATGGTTGAGAGTTTGTTTCTTGTGTTCTTTAAGATTGGCTTACCAATCAAGTAAGACATTTGTGATTTATTTTGCAGTAATGTTATTCATTGTTTTTTTTTTTTTTGCAGGGCAATCTTATGATAGAGGGTAGCGTGATTGGAGAAGAATTGATTTCGATCCAAGAAACTGAGTTTATAATGATTATCTGTTGGAACTAGTCAACTAGGAGATTAATACTCCGTATATCTTTTGCTGATAAATATCTGCATTGGGTTTACGTATACGGTGCAAGTACTGTCATTTTTGTTACTATGTAATAACACTATAACAGATGTAAAAGTTGCCTTTGTTTTAGACATCTACTCTGTAATTAATTTTTGGATTCAGTTGTAAACCAATACTGTATTGCAGCTGTCATTTAACTTAATCTAACTTAATGTAAGGATTGCCTGGTTTTCTTTACTTTTTCCTTTCTAGTTTTGGGTTTCTAGGAACTCAAGAGTAGCAGTCACAATGGATTTAGGGACTGAAATCATATACTGTATATATAAGCCTTTCATTTGGGAGCGTAAATTTCTGATACTCGTAGTCCACATAATATACATGACCATCTGGGAGCAGATTCACTGAAAATAAAAGAGATGTTCGTAACATAGAATTTTCCTAGGTATTTCTAGCTGCATCTGTGGATTCTTGTAACTGAAGGCAACCAAGCTCAGTTTTGAATCACCTCAATCACAACTGTATCCACCGCAGCAAGGTTTTTACTGAATTAACAAAGCCAATTTCTGCAGTCTTAGTATAACGATAATAGCAGATAAGCTGCGACTAACTATAAAATCCAGAAACGATAGCTGTAGCATGGAGTAACAAGAGTTAAGAACAACATTTATCTCACAGGATCAAGTCAATCATCTTATACTCGCCACACTAAAGACAGCTTCCTTGTACAATGTTTCACTAGTTTTGCATTTCTTACTTGAAATAAACATCTTTCCTTCCTCTGCAACTAGATACAGTGATGACATTATCTTCGAAGAACATCAGATAGATTTTGCTTTTGTCAGAGCTCCAAGCAGTTCAGATAGCTCTGTATCTCTTTGTCCAAAAATCCCAACCAGTTGCATACTTACTTTAACTCTAAGCCTGGTGTAAGCCAATAATTCAGCGCTTTCTGCTAGGTCTCAGCTGAATATTGTCATGCTGAAAATAAAAGCAGCAAAGAATTTCATCAGAACATTCCATCGCATCATTCAATCATTAGCCGGGATTCTGTTCTGAATCACACAAGTTCTTTGGCTTTGCCTGATCATTACGAATCACTCTTTTCCTCGTAAGGTTATCATGTCTGTAACTCAATTAACAACCATACAACCAAGAAACAGTATCTGAAAGTCTGAAACTTTCTAAGAACTCAAAATTTTGCCTTTAATGTCATAAGCATCAACCCACTTTAGTCATAACTTGTCTTTCTTAAGAGTATGGGATAAGAGCAACTTAGTAAATAGTAATTGCTCCTTTTAATTTGGGCATATTTTGAGTCAAGCATCTGGAAATTTTCTACACAAGCTAACATCACCTTGTCTTCAACATCTTTCAAAATTTCTTGGTCATAAGAAAAATTTGATTTTAATGATATACAAATCATGCAATTTTCTTGCTTAGGAAATTACAAGTCCTAAAATAAACATCCTTTTGTTAGCATCTAGATTAGGAGAACTTAAATATTTGGACAATGTTTAAATTAAAAAAAAAAAGGTAAGGAGAATTGTCCTATCGGATTGAAACCTTAAATTAATGTGCCATAATAAACAAGCTCTCTTTAGAATTAATGATAAAGGGTAAGACTTTAGGAGTGATTCCCATCTTAAAGTATTCTTAACACAAACCTATACCGATAGTTCAAGTAATTTCTTGGTGGATATGTTCATTTTTTTTAAGACGGAAATAAATCACCATACTTTTTATCTTTTCATTTCTCCTCCCCTCTTCACCCTCCCTTCTTTTCCCTCAACTTTTCCTATACAACCAAACAATTAAAATTTTACTATAGAGTTGCAAAGCTAATTGAAGCTTGTATGAGTGTTTTTATCATGAAAGAAATAATTATATGTGTAACAGAAATCACATACGGTTAATGTGTGCATATGCCATTGATATTCTAATTATATTCCTCTAAAATTAAATACTTTGACTAAAGATATGCTTTTAAATCCATCCAATCCTAGTGCGTCTAGTGACACTGGCCTGCCCCTTCTTTTGCCAACATATTGGTCATGTTATTGGCCTCTCACCACTAACTAATGAAGGTAACATCCTCTCTCTCGATTTTCTTTAGATGTGCCCACGACCTATAAGTTTCTATTTTTTATTGTACACTCGGATATATATAAGCGTCTGAAAAAACATGTAGAGCTCATATAATATATGTATATGTATACAATAAACATGGACCTTTAATAATTGTCATTTACAGCCAATATGCTATGGAAGTAGTCTCCACACCCGACCTTAAATAATAAGTTTTGTCAACAAGCGGTTTTATAGATAAAGTCCATGACCTTCACATAATATATATATATATATATATATATATATATACTTTACACTTGGATTTGATAATATGTACCACTTTACTATCAGTATGTCATGTCATCATCTAAGTAACCTCCACATCCAATTATAAATAAAACTTTATAGCGGTTTTTTTTTTTTTTTTTTTTTTTTTTTTTTTTTAAACTAGCTCCTTCGTTGTGAAGTGATTTCTTTTCAAATGTAACAAATACTAGGTTATGTTGTGCGACAGCGGAAGCAAAGGTCGTAAACAAACAAGAAAACAATAAAGAAATTCAATGCAAACAATAAGAACAACACCAAGAATTTACGTGGTTCACTATCGATGTGATAGCTACGTCCACGGGCACCGAGATCGAATGATTTCACTATAAACTGCAAAGATTACAAAGATGATTCTTGTATTTCTCAAGAACGGCTCTCACTCTGTCTCTCTTAACCCTAATACTGATATTAGGGAGGTTTTATATTAATCCCTAATTAAAAGATACTTGGGCAAAAAGATAATAAAATAAGATAACCTAAAACCGCAAAATCCGCGTTCCGTATTTTTCCTTCTCCGCCCGGTCAGACCGGGCAAGGTCTGCCCGATCGGGCGCGAGAAGAAAACTCCATACGAATGCTTCAACGTATCCAACCCCCACCGCCCGGTCAGACCGGGCAAGGTCTGCCCGATCGGGCGAAGGCTCGCCCGGTCGGGCGAAGGCTCGCCCGGTCGGGCGCGAGAGCAGCTTCTTCAACGAATTTGCCAGGCACCTCTTCTTCTTCCGCCCGGTCAGACCGGGCAATGTCCGCCCGATCGGGCGGACAAAGCTACGAAGTACGAGTCACCTAATATACTTATCAACAATCTCCACCTTGACGAGAACTCGTAGTCAGCAAACGACCCCATCAAGACATAGTGAAAAACATCTCAAGCCAAACCCGATGCAGGACTCATGCATAAGCCATACATCCCGATAAGTCTTCAACCAAGACCCATCACATACTCGTCTCCAAGTATAACAACTCATAATGCTCCACCTGCATCACAAGCCCCGGGCAAGCTCCACCTTAAGGCCAACACACCTACACCAGGAGCTCCCCAACTTCGCCCCTCAGGGCCTACTACATCACGTAGTAATCAATATTTAGCAAGTCTAAGCAATGTTTAAACTTGCTAAACGGAACAGGCTTAGTGAAGAAATCAGCCGGGTTGTCAGCAGTCCCAATCTTCTTCACCTTAATCCTCTTGTCAGTACGCAAGAAATGATACCTGACATCAATGTGCTTCGTCCGATCATGGTGTACTTGATCTTTAGCTAAGCAAATCGCACTTAGACTATCACAATATACTGTAGCAAAATCCTGTGCAATACCCAGTTCACCTACTAGGCCTTTGAGCCAAATAGACTCCTTAGCTGCAGAAGTTAAAGCCATATACTCAGCTTCAGTAGTTGACAACGTAACTGATGACTGCAATGTAGACTTCCAACTAACCACAGAACCACCCAAAGTGAACACATAACCAGTCACAGATCTCCTGGTATCCACATCAGCTGCATAATCAGAATCACTGTACCCAGTGACCAAGCATTCCTTACCATTCCCGTACACAAGACCAATATCAGCTGTCCCTCTCAGGTAGCGAAAAATCCTTTTCACCCCTTGCCAGTGTTCCCTCCCAGGTCGAGCCATAAACCTGCTTACAACACTAACAGCATGCGCAATATCCGGCCTAGTACAGACCATAGCATACATCAAACAACCAACCGCGTTTGCATATGGAACTCTAGACATATAAGACAACTCCTCCTCTGATTGAGGTGACATAGACAAAGACAACTTACAACTAACAGTAGTTGGCGTACTTATAGGCTTCGATTTTTCCATCCCAAAACGAGACAGAATCTTTTCAATGTAGCTTTTCTGAGTCAAGAAAAGCTTACCTCTAGCCCGATCCCTGTAGATCTCCATACCCAAAATCTTCCTAGCTGCACCCAAGTCTTTCATGTCAAACTCCGAGTTAAGCATCTCCTTTAATCTAGCAATATCAGATTTATTCTTTGTGGCAACCAACATGTCATCAACATATAACAAAAGATAAATCATGGAACCATTATCCAGCTTACTATGATACACACAGCAATCATATGAATTCCTGTCAAAACCTTGTGAAACCATAAAAGAATCAAACCTTTTGTACCACTGTCGGGGGGATTGCTTAAGTCCATACAATGACTTTAGCAATCTGCAGGCATAGTGTTCCTTTCCAGGAACTTCGAATCCTTCGGGCTGCTTCATCAGAATCTCCTCCTCCAAATCGCCATGAAGGAAAGCCGTTTTAACATCCAACTGCTCCAGCTCAAGATCAAAATGTGCTACAATTGACAATAACACACGGATAGAAGTATGTCGAACCACAGGTGAGAATATCTCAACAAAGTCAACCCCTTCTACCTGACTGAACCCCTTAGCAACTAGCCTAGCCTTAAAACGTATTTGCTCAGTTTCCGACAACCCTTCTTTCTTCTTGTAAATCCATTTACAACCCACAAGCTTCCTCCCTTCCGGTACCTTTACCAGTTCCCACACTCTGTTCTTGTAAAGAGACTGCATCTCTTCACCCATTGCGGCAAGCCATTGCGCAGACTCACTACAACTAATTGCTTGTTTATATGTGGCAGGTTCAAATGACTCTACATCATCAGCTACACTCAATGCATAACCTGTCATCGCATCAACACAGCAATTTCTTCCCTCCATCTCTTCAATCAATCTAACAGGCTTCTTGATAACTCGTTTAGGCATCTCAAGAATGGTGTCAGGTTGACTAGATGACCCCTGATTAGATTGCTCCACCTCATCCCCAGAGTTAGAATGAGTAGGAGTAATCTCAGGTTCAGGAG